CCACCAGCCCTGACTTATGCTTCTATGTTTTGCTGGGGATAATATTGTTACTATGCCTAGCCATTGTGTTTTTCTGCAGCTAGAATTACTTGTAGGCCAACGTAGCTAGTCATTGATTGAGATAGAGTCTTTTGACTTTTTATGCTTGGCTGGCCTTGAGCTGCAGTTCCCCTGATCTCTGCCTCCCACATAGCTAGGAATATAGGCTTGTACCCTTGTACCTGGCAGTTTTGTTTCTGTACTTTTTCTTTAAGAAACTTTATGCAAAGTAGATCTTAAAGTGAGGCCTTGTTATGGAAGAAATAAAAAATTCTACACTTTGCATCCCTTTGAAAGAAAAAAGCTATCCAAGCTATAAAGTAAAAGTGCTGAGATTCAGCATTTCCTTTATTCTCTCCCTACCAGTCCATGCCACACAGCTTCTAGTTATTTGAGCCACATCCAGCCCTTTTTGCTTTATTTTTTGGATAAGGTCTTGTGTTTTTGTCCAGGGTGGCTGTGATTCTCTTACCTATGCCTCCTTGAAGCAGGAACAAAGGTGTGTACCCAGTGCCTTGCTTTTGGTTGGGATAGACTCTTGTTAACTTTTTGGCAGGGTGGCCTTGAACCTCTGTCCTGTTGCTCTCTGCTTCCCAAATAGATGTCATTACAGCCTTACATCACTATTCCTGGCCTTGCTTTGCCTCCTTGTCATTCTCATACGTCTAGTTCCCACTTCCTTCTACCTCACTAAATATAGATAGGCCTCCTAGAATCTGGCTGTACTTTGTAATGTAAACAGGCTGTTTATTGAATCCATAAACATTATTAATCACATTTGCATAAAAAACAATTATCTTAAGAGTTTTTATTTCTTTTGTTAAATCTTACCACTGGTTTAAATTTCTTAGGATATATATATTTTCCAGTCCTGTGGCTTGAACTCAGGGCCTGTCCCTAAACTTCTTTTGCTCAAGGCTAGCACTCTACCACTTGAGCCACAGCACCACTTTCAGCCTTTTCTGTTTATGTAGTACTGAGGAATCAAACCCACGGCTTCATGTATGCTAGACAAGCATTTTACCACTAAGCCAAGTTCCCAGCCCTAGGATATTCTTGATTAAAGATGAGAATGGAGAAAACATACTTTTAAGCTATTGATAGCTAGAGAGAATATAGTTACTATATAAATTGTTTTATGACATACTTCTACATGTCTGAATTGTATATTTTCTTTTATTCTTCTTGGCTTTTAGCTTCAACAGAATCCCTCAATCCTAGACCACAGACCACGATTTCTCCCGCAGATCTGCATGGAATGTGGTATCCTACAGTTCGAAGAACTCTTGTCTGTCTCTCCAAATTATACAGATGTATAGATGTAAGTGTGTACATTCTTTTACCTCTACTGTGAATTACTTTTTTTTTTTGGTCCAGTCGTGGGCCTGAACTCTGGGCCTGGGCGCTGTCCCTCAGCTCTTCAGCTCAAGGCTAGTGCTTTACCACTTGAGCCACAGCGCCACTTCCGGCTTTTTTCTTTTTGCTTATGTGGTGCTGAGGAATCGAACTCAGGGCCTCAGGCATGCAAGGCAAGCACTCTACCACTGAGTCACCTTCCCAGCCCCTGTGAATTACTTTTTAATCTGGAATATTTAAAAATTTTAATTTATTAAGATCTTGATTCAGATGATTTCTTAGAATCATGGTTTTTAGATAAAACATGGTTTATCTATTAGAAATTCCTTATCTGGGCATTCTATGGATCCCTAGAATCTACTAATGGGCTTTGGAGAGTTTCTGAACACCCTAGAATTATGGGTTGTGTTTATATTCTCATGTCCATATAGAAGGAAGTTTGACACTATGTTGAAACGGATTTTCTAGGGATGGTTTGTTTATAAACCAAACTGGTTTATTTACTGATCAAAGGTGAGGAAGGCAAACCCGGACAGATTATGGCAGAGTAGTAAACCAGTAGCAGTCTTAATCCCTCTTCCTACATTGGCCTCTAGAGGGAGAAGCAATACAAAAAGAGAGTAACATCCAGTAGAGACCAGGACTATACCAAATCATAAATGTCTTGTATATATGCATCCCTGTCATTTCCATCTCATAGAATACTGATACAGAAGCAAGGGGACTCATTAGAATCATGGCCTGCCCAAAATACCATGCTTTTGGGAAGACAGATAAATGATAAAACTGACTTGAGATTCCTATCTCACATATTTGTAAAGCCTAGTTTTCTTTTACCACTTGATTACATAAAAATTTTACCACCTCTCTTAGAATTCTTTGTGTTTACATACAATATTGCACCATCTGTTTTGCTGTTATTAGCTAACCTCCCCTCATTGAACATTTGTGTTCTTTCTCTTTCTTTCCTACTTCCCTCCTTCCTTCCCTCCCTTTCACCCTTCTCGCCCTTTTCTTTGATACTATACTAAAGAGCTGTGTCCTTGAATTTTTTTTTTTTTTTTTTTTTTGTCATGGGGCTTGAACTCTGGGCCTCGGTGCTGTCCCTCAGCTCTTCAGTTCAAGGCAAGTACTGTACCCCTTGAGCCACAGTGCCACTTCTGGTTTTCTGGTGGTTTATTGGAGATAAGAGTCTCATGGACTTTCCTACCTGGGCTGGCTTTGAATGGCGATCCTCAGATCTCAGCCTCCTGAGTAGATAGGATTGTACGCATGAGCCACCAGTACCTAGCTTGTGCTTGAATATTAAAACACTACTGGTTAATTACTTGGGACAAAGTTTTTGTTTTTGTCTGTCATAGGGCTTGATCTTGGGGCCTGGGTGCTGAGCTCTTTTGCTTTAGGCTCTGCCACTTTGCCACAGCACCACTCCAGTTTTCTGGTGGTTAATTGGAGATAAGAATATTACCAGCTGGGGCTGGGAAGGTGGCTCAGTGGTAGAGCACTTGCCTTGCATGCCTGAGGCCCTGGGTTTGATTCCTCAGCACCACATAAGCAAGAAGAAAAAAGCCGGAAGTGGCGCTGTGGCTCAAGTGGTAGAGCGCTAGCCTTGAGCTGAAGAGCTGAGGGACTGCGCCCAGGCCCAGAATTCAGGCCCCACAACTGGACCCCCCCCCCCCAAAAAAAAAAAAAAAAAGACTATTACCAGCTTTCCTGCTCAGGCTGGCTTTGAACCACTGTCCTCAGATTTCAGCCTCCTAAGTAGGTAGGAATACAGGTGTGATCCACCAGAGCCTGGGAAGCTTGGGATAAAGTTTTTATCAACAGTATTAAGATTGCTAGTTTTAAAGATTTAAAACATATTCCCATAAAGGAGATTATGCTGAGGTCAGAACCCTGATTGCCTGTTAACCTCTGTACTACTCAGCATCTAGCTCAGTGTGTGGCATGGAGTAAGTGCTAGTACATATTTATTGAAGAGGCATGTGGCTATTTCTAGACATGTGGGCCCATTATAAAACCATGTGTTAGTCTAGAATGATTACATAGGAATAGAAAACTCCAGGAAAAATGAGACCAGTAAGAGACCAAGCCAATGATGCAAGCAAGTAACGGCCAGGGATTTTCTTTTAACTGTTTTGTGATGTGCCACATGCTAATGTTTCTTTTTATTCCACCAGAGGGCTGTGTTTCAAGGATTATCACAGGAAGCCTTGTCTGCCTGCATTCAGTCCTTACTGGGAGCATCCGATTCTATCAGCAAAAACAAGGTTTGATGAAGTGTTAGGTGAAATTTTAATACCTATAATAATACTGTACAATATATTCTTTATAGGCATGGAAATTTAAAGCCAGTTCGGCAGTGAGATTTCTTTAACATGATTTAATTTTGAGGTCCTTTGAGAGAAGCTAACATTTCATTTTAGTGCTCAATAAACTATCAAAATTTGAAATTTTGCTAAAGTATCAAAAACAGTACTTACATCAAATAAATTCTGTAGGATGAAGGATTCTTGCTACTTCCTTAGCAATTGGGGAGATGGTATTTTGGTTTCCTTGTACTATCAAGGGAAGTATTTTTAAGGAAACAACAATTTAATCATCCCTTTAATATTGTTTTAAATAGTTAAATGGCCTTATCTGGAGGAAATCAACCTGTCACTTCTGAGGACAGGCAACTGTAAGTTCTATGACTGCTTAAGTTCTATGACAACTTAAGTTCTATGACTGCATAGCTCAAGGTTTTTAGTCAGGATGGGCCCAGAAATGGGAAGCTACTGGTATGTGCTGCTTTCATGGCTTTTTCAGAAAGTAGAACATGGTCAGTGGTATTGTTCTGTTTACCTCTTCACTTAAAACTCCTGTTGCCTATAGGAAAAGAGCTGTGGGGCTTGTTTACAGACACAATTTCATTGTTGCTTGGAGTGTTCAAACCTTGTAACTTCCATATTTTCAAACTTGAGTTCTAGCTTTAAGACTTAGACAAATAAAAAAAAAAAGTGTTGGGCTGGGAAGGTGGCTCAGTGGTAGAGTGCCTGCCTTGCATACATGAGGCCCTGGGTTTGATTCCCCAGCACCACATAAGCAGAAAAAGCCGAAACTGGCACTGTGGCTTAAGTGGAAGAGCACTAGCCTTGAGCTGAAGAGCTGAGGGACAGTGCCCAGGCCCTGAGTTCAGGCCTCATATCTGACCAGAAAAATAAAAGTCATCAGAAGAATTTGGCATTTTGTTGCTAGAAAAGCTTTTCCCTTTGTGTGTGACCATTCTGTTTCCCTGTTTGTGGAATGGAGAATTGAATGAAATTGTGATTTAGGGACTAGATGACGATGGAAAATAAAGTTATGGATGAATAAGTTTTAATTAGTATTCATGGTATGACAAAGGATTATTGTTGAATAATAACATGTTTTATGTGCTCCTGTTTGATTTAATCCTATGATTTCTATTTTTCTGTCTTATAATTTAGACTCAGATTGATGGGCAACTTTTCTTAATTAAGCACCTTTTGATTCTTCGTGAACAAATTGCTCCATTTCACACTGAATTCACCATTAAGGAAATTTCCCTGGACCTCAAGAAAACTAGAGGTACTTGTTCTGGCTGACACAGTTGGGTGTTTGACCTATCCATATGTGTCAGCACAGGTTATAGGTTTATTTTATGTTCATCTGCAATTTTTTTTGCATGCTTTGCTTGCTAAGTGTGTTATTTGTTCATACTAAACTGAGCTGTCAGTATCCTAATTATTTCTAACTAGCTTTATGTTCTTGAGGGGAACTATATTTGAGCATTTTAATTTGTGAGACAGGATTACCTCCCTTAGGTATTATTTTATTATAACCAGTTCAAAAATGAAAAATCAGTCTAATAGTTACTTACTAAATAAGTAATATGTATCAGCTAATTGGAATGGTTTTGAGTTTATTCATTTGCTTATGAAAGTTCCTGAAGCTAGTTAAAACAGGAAAAATGCTGGCTCTTATGTATATTTTAGCATTCCTAATGCTAAAATGTCTACCTTCCTCTCCTAGATAAAAGGAGTACACTGAAGGTGTTATGACACCTTTAGTGATAATTAATTAAAATGATAAAGAATGGTAATATATACTATTTGTTAATACGCTTAAATTGTTTTCCTTACGTTTTAGGGAATTAAACTTAAGGAACTATCATTAGATTAGTTAAGTTGTCATGTAAAGAGGGTCTTCGAAATGGAAATATGTATTGACTTACCATGGGGAAGATGATTTATCCATTCTAATGATTTGTCTCTGAATAAACAAGTGATGATTTTTTTTTTTTTTTGTCGGTCGTGGGGCTTGAACTCTGGGCTTGAGCGCTGTCCCTGTGCTCTTCAGCTCAAGGCGAGTGCTCTACAGCTTGAGCCACAGCACCACTTCAGGTTTTCTGGTGGTTTATTGGAGATAAGAGTCTCACAAACTTTCCTGCCAGGGCTGGCTTTGAACCACGATCCTCAGATTTCAGCCTCCTGAGTATCTAGGATTACAGGTGTGAGCCACTGGTGCCTGGCTAAGTGATGATTTTTTAAGAGATCAAAGTAGTTACTTTCTGAGATACTGATCTTAAACAATTAAGGATATACTATGAACATCACTCATTTCCTTTAATTCCTTACACATTTCTGTAAATGTTAATTATTTCCAAGAGATTGAAGCTCTTTTGCCCTAAGCCAGTTCATTTATTTGATAAATTAACTTCTGTCTTATATACTAGAGCAATTGAGACCCAAATTATTTTCTGTGGTCTGTGTTTCAGAGCAATTCAAATATATAATTTCCAAAGATAGCAGGAATTTAGTTCCCTAATTACTGTGTTTATTATGAGAGTGGAATTTTTAAAAACAAATATTTGAGAGTATACTTAATTCAGTGAGCTTTATTGTGACTTTCTGATATGTCATATTAAAACAGCTTGCTGTTTCCCCCCTGTTCTTCCTATCTACCACACAGGATAAGCCCATGTGTCTTAGTCATATTCTTTGCCATTTTTTTCCTAGCAGAAGTCAGGTTTCTTTTGCCTTTAAGGAATGCATTTTTTTTTTTTTTTTTAGAGCTTATTTGTATCTGACACTTCCATCTCTCACCTCTTCATATTGATTTCCTTCCTTTAGGTCTGGGAATGGTGGGAAATTTCTAATGGGATCTATCAGGGTGGACTTTCATCTTTCTTTTCTTGTCATGTTTTGTCTTTTTTCGTGTGTGTGTGTGTGTGTGTGTGTGTGTGTGTGTGTGTGTGTGTGTGTGTG